CTGGAAGAACGGAATGTCTGACTGCTCTACTCTAGTGCGGTGCCATGATTTGAATACGGGAGAAGTTGGATCGACTGTTGATTAGGGAGATCTTCATGTTGGCCACATGTCCTACAAGTATTCAAGATGTAGGTTATGAAGTTGGTTGGGATCCAGACCATTTGTAGCTGGGAATCCAATCCGTTGGTAGGTTATGCTTAGTCCATTGCCAGCATTGCAAGGATGGTTAGTTGGTTCCATTGCTAGTAGGTTTCAATGGCATGGTGAAGTTGGAGAGGATCCAGTCCATTGCTAGTAGGTTTCATGGCAATGGTTGAGTTGATGGCTGGCTAATTTACACTACTGCTGCCTTCTGAGTTCACCCCGGAAGGCCACCAATCAGTTGGTTGGAAGGTTAGGAAGGAGAGGAGTTCATCGATAGTGCCAACTCCGTCAGATCCCTAGCCAATTCCTTCACTGTCGCTTTTATTCTTGCTTCCCAACGACATATTGTTCATCACCTCCTAGTACATCAAATTAAAACAGGTCCCTTCCTGACTCACTTCCTATTCTAAAGGGTATTTCTTGGTACTATTAATAAGAAACAGAGTGTAGGGGGGGAGCCTCCCTTAATTATAATAAAATTTTTTATATATTTTATTAAGAACGAGATCCCTTCCAGACTCTCTTCCTATTATAAATGGTATGGTACTATTAATTTAGGAAGTGAGAAAAGGGGGAACCTCATTTCCAAATAATAATAAGGTGTGCTCCTATCTTCAATTCTACCTACATTTACTTTTGGTTATAATCAGAGAAGAGAGGAAACCCCGTTAATTAAAAATGAATAAGGATTGCTCCTATCTCTATTTCTATCGACTCCCCTTTTATCAAAGAATTAGAGTATTGAGGCGATCCTATTCCAAATTATAATAAATTATTTTAGTTGTAATTAAAGGGAGGTGCCTCCTTCCCTCTGTTCCTTATATCACTGGTATGTTAGTTAAGAAACAAAGGCTAGAAGGGATCTCCTTTCTAAATAAATATTTATTATTAATTAATATATAAATAATATTAATATATATAAAGGAGGTACCCAGGACTCTGTTCCTTATAATATAAGTAAGATGATACCATTGGAATAAGGAACAAAGGCAAGAAGGGACCTAATTAATTATATTATAAATATATAAGAAAGGGGGGTGTCCCCCTATAACTCTGATTCTATTTAAAAGGTACCAATAAATGCCAATGATATAAGGAACAGAGACAAGAGGGAACCTGTTAAATTGTGTGCTAGGTGGTGATGCTAAAGATGTCATTGGGAAGCAGGAAGGAGGGTATGCTGTTTGCCTGGCTGTCTTGATCCAATGATGTGAGCAGCATGAATGAAAGGGCAGTAAGTCAGTAAAGGTGGTTCGATTCCATCTCTTCCCAAATGCAAGCAATTGAGCTGGTTGATTGGAAGGTAGCCAAATGGTGAGGCAGCAGTCTGTAAATCTGTCATATGATGGTTCGAGTCCATCCCTTCTCATGAGGTGATTCGGAGTAGTTGTGGACCGAGTTCTTGATTTGGCCAGACAACCTCTTGTCAGGTATTGGGAGTTGTAATTTTACTCATGGGTATTCTTTTGGCTAGCTAGTTGATTTAGGTGATAACACTTGTATTGTACGTTGCCAGTTGGTACTTGACTGCCAAGATAGTTGATAGCAACACCAAGGAGCAAATCAGCCCATATGAATGTGGATTGGAATCCATTGGAGATGCACGTATGAAGTAGGACATCTACTACTACATCATTGGTATCCTCTACCTTATCTTTGATCTTGAGATCATCTTCCTGTTCCCACTGGGTGCCGTCTTCTTGATGCTGGACTCCATCGTCACTATCGGCCTCCTTTACCTGTTCTTCACCCTACTCACTTGGGGATTCATCTACGAGTGGAACTCCGGAGTACTGTTGTTGTACTAATTGACTGAACTGACCCTGTTTGCTTGGCACTTCGATTGATTTGATTCATTTAAATGGTTCACAGGATATAGACTCGTATGAGGCAGTATGGCCATCCTCGGTATTCAACTCGCTCTTGGCATCTACATCATGGGCCTCGTCATCTACCTACTTAACAAGGGAAGAGATCTTATTATGCTACTCATTTCCCTTGAGTTGATCTTCCTAGCCATCGGCATCCTTTTCATCCACCTCACCTTCTACCTTGATGATATCATCGGCTACTACCTTACCCTCTACCTGCTACCTTTGGCTGGCGGAGAAACTGCCATCATCCTTGCCCTGCTTGTCGCCTATCACCCCCTAAGGGGCAGCATCTCGTTCCATGATGACTCCCACATGAACTGACTATGCCATCAATCAATGCATACATGCAATAAATCAGATTAGAGTCAAATCCTAACTATCCGATTCCATTTGCCCCCCTAACTATAAGGGGATGTGCTCCTTTCTCTAATTCTTCGACCATATCATTCACTGTATAATTTGAGTAGAGAGGCAGCCCCCTTTCACTTAATAAAATTATAATAGGGCTTCCCTCAACACTCTAATTCTACGGTGAAAGGGATTGGTGTGAATCAGAGATAGGAGCACACCTTATTTGTTATATAATTTAATTAGAAGGGAGATCCCTCCCTACCTCACTTCCTTATTCCTGGTCTTTATTGGTATCTTTCATATTAGATTTAGAGTTAAGGGGGATCCTCCTTCCGTATTAGTCTAATGTATGGTACCTTTATTACAATAGATTTTAGAGTTAAGGGGCTTCCCCATTTCTAAATAAATTAATTTTATTATTTATATCCAACAGGTTCCTCCCTACCTCTCTTCCTTATATCATTGGTAGGGTATCTTTCCACTTTGTATATAAGGAACAAAGTTAAGGGGTTCCTTCCTCCCTCTCTTCCTTATTCAATCATGATCCTCTTTGATATTAGAAACTAAGACAAGGGGAACCTCCTTTTATTGAACACCAATAACGAGCTCCCTCCTTAGTCATAGTCTAATTACACTCTTCCTTTCCACTTGTTCTTGACATTAGATTAAGAGTTAGGGGGCATCCTCCTTTTCTATAAAGTTTAAATACAAATAAGGTTACCCCTTGTCTTAGTTTCTTATTAAACATACCAATAAATTCCACTTATAAGGAAGAGAGGGAGGAAGGGATCT